TAAGACAGTTATTTAAAAGTCAGTAAGATTTTGTATAGAATAGCCAGAGCTACTATCTAAAAGTCTTTCTGGCAGTAAGCTATAAATATACAATTCTTATTCAGGACCCTCGAAAACCTTATATCTCATAAGACAACCTTACCGCTTGCCAATTATCTAGATTGTTATTGCCTCTGTTGCCCGGGCGAAACTCCTTCTATTTGTTATAATATTCCTTCTACCACGCTTTAAATACTTGCCTACTGCACTAATATGTCGGTGCGCCTTCTTTATCACTTTCAAGGCATAAGTATTATATATAGGAGAAGTAGTAATAGTGGCAGTAGCAGTAGTAGTGACCTTATAACGTCTTTATACTTACCCCTTAATATTTACTCTTTTAGTTAACTGCTATATTCTTATTATTGTCTCTGTATATTCCGTATTTAAATTTTAATACTTAATAAATATACTGGCTATTATGGTAATAGCCGCCAGGCATGTGTACATAATGAATATATTTCTTATACTCCACGCAAAAGCCTCGAGGACTACCTAATGCTGCAAAGTATCTTAGATCGACGCAGTAATACCTATATTTGCTACAGCCTGGTTACCTAATAGAGCCTTACAGATAGACTCGCCAAGGCCAGCAGCAGCAAAGAAAGACCGCTAAGTATCCATACTATTCTAGAATACCACACTGCTAACTACTACTAATAGCAATATAGCAACGCTACAAATAAAGCTTAAGAACGCTATAGCTGCTATAGTATCGACCTGGCTAACAGTATTCTAAATAGCAACTATAGGTTCTTAGAATAGAAGCACGGGGCCGAAAGCACTAAGTATTTATAACTCAATAACTACTAAATCGGACGTGTCGATTCCGAAACTTATATATAGCCCTATTCCTATTATCATAGGCGTAACACCAGCCCATATAAACTCCCTGTAACAGCCTATATAATAGATTACAATACCAGCTAAAATTTCAATAATAGCTTATATTACTATTAGCGGGAGTATCAGAATACTACTTTAAAGAGGCAAAGCTTACTATACGCTTTAAAAGAAGAGCAATAGGTAATATTCCATACCTATAAGAATTATAGCATATAAAAGACAATAAGAAATATCGCATTATTAAACCAGTTTTTAAAAATATCTAGCGGTATTAGCGGGTATTTAGCCAGGTGTTATTTAGTAAAGATAAAAAAGCTAATTAGAAGTATTCTAAATACAAGTAAATAGATTATCTTAGGATTATTCCAGGGAAATATCACACTGCCGAGGTCCAGTCTAACAAGAAGTAGAAGTATTATAGCTAGGATAGAAAATGTCCTAACTTAATTGACAGCTCTTATACCTTCAGTTAGCTTTATATGCAGATTATATACATCCAGAAAAACAAGCAAGAAAATAAAGGTAATTCCAGAGATAGAGAGGTTAATCTAGAAGTACTACTACTAACTGGCAAACTATATAAAGATACTGCCGATAAGAAGTCTAGCAGAGCCAGCTAGAGTCTATATAAATCCTATAAACCCTAAATATAATAACTGCTTCTATATATTAAAGAGGTTTAAGATAATAATAATTACTATTATATAAGCCTACTGCTACTAGCGCCTTATAGCACTCGGCCAGTAATTAGTATTAGCATATTAATACTTAACGCTATAAAGACACTAGCAGCTGTAAAGAGACTAACTATAATAAGAAGCACGAGCTTGTAACTCTAGATATTGCTGTATTTCGCCCAGATTAGTCCTGTAGCAGCAGTAGCTAGCAGATAGATACTACTAATCCAGATATACCCTATAGCAGAATGTAGTTCAGCGGAGATAGTAGGTATAGATATTGCAATAATAGTTTAATCGAGGGTGGCTACAAAGAGTACAAGCTGCAAGATAATGCTGGTATTAGCTAGGTTTTATTTGCTAAAGACTGGGGCGGGTCAAGTTATATAGAGTCCTGATAATATGGCGTATAGACGCAGCTTTATGCGGATTCGAGGGCTTTCTATCAGATCGAGAGGCTTAATAGGGATATCCCTGGGGGAAGCCTCTGGGGCGGGAGGTTTTACTAGCGATTTGGGCTAATGTATAGGAGTTTTAGAGGGCGTGATGATATCTATGGTAATTTAATATACTCACATTACAAAGAAAAGAGGTTCTCTCGGATAGTTTCTATAGAGGATAGTATTAAATACTAATAGGTATTTGCAACTGAAATGGATTTTAGGGGAGTTTCTAAAGAATATTTAGGATTTAACTGAAAAACAAAAGGCAGCAGTATCTACCAGTCTTAATTGCATCAACCCAATATCAAGTTCTAAATATAGCTAGGCTATCTTCTATTCTAATTCTATAACCAGAACACTTCAAAACCTAACCTTATTTTGAATTATTATATCTATTGCTTTTTAAGTATTACTAAAAAAGAAATGCTTAATAAGATATATTACCCTATATATCTACACAAAATTAATTATATCTTTACAGTTTAAAGTATACCTACTAGGCTAACTATAAATAGATATAGCTTTTAAAATTAGATTAAAGCTATTAATCTTAAGCTAGCTTACTAATATAAGTATATAAAGCTTTTTAGCTGCTTTAAGTATCTTTATAAGAGAAATAATAGATTTAGAGTTAGATATTATAGTAATAATAAATATAATACTATTTAACTTCTTAAGTACTTTAATAGAATTAACTTAGCTAGAATTAATAAACTTATATATTTTAAGTTTTAAGATAAGATTTTATTTTTCTAAATTAAAGTTAAAAGCTATAATTTTATATTTTATTTTATTAATATATTAAATTGCTAAATAATCTAATTTACTAATATTCTAAATAGTAATAAGATTTTCTTATTTAATTTTTATCTTATAAATACTATTAAAAATTATAACACCAGTATAAAATAGAGGATTAACTTAAGTAGAATCTAGATTTTTAGGAATTCTAATAACTACCTTAAAATAAAATAAAATAAATTCTATATAACTACTATCTTAAGAGATACTATTAGAAATAGTATTATTATAAATTTAAAAAAGTTCTATATAGTATTAGTAATAAATATAATTATAACTTAAAATATAAATTAATCTGGGGTATTTAGTTATAAGTATAAATCTACTATACCTCTATACTAAGTCCCTTTAATATAATTTCTATTTATAATATAGCTAACTCCCTTACTAATTTTAATAATATTCCTAACAATCTTATAGCCTAAAATATATAGAAAAAGATATAGCTTAAAATAACCTTATTAAAGTTTTATATTAAAGTAATAAATACTATAAATAAGAACCTTAACTAGAACTTAGCTAAAACTAAGCTTCTTTAAATTAATATTAATAATTTTTAAAGAAGTATTAGGTACTTTAATAATAGTAGCTTTATAAAAGGTAGAAAAAAGTAGCTTAATAATAGATATTATTATAAAAGTTAAAAAGTAAAAACTTATTAAATAAGAGTAATAAGTTTAAGTTTAATAGTTTATTAAAATTTATAAATAATGATATTCTTTTTTATAATTTTATACTAATTCTTTTTCTATTAATAAATAAATATTTATATCTTAGTAATTTTAATATTTCTAAAATATAAAAAGTTAAATATTTTCTAAAGTATAATATATAAGTAAAATAGAGATATTTACTTAATACTAAAAAACACAACCTTATAATTCTAAGTAAAATATATACTTAATAATTAATATAATATCAAACCTTATTTAAAAATAATAAAAACAGGCCTTAAAGCAGCCTAAAAGTAAACTAATAAGTTTAGTAATAAAAAATATCAAGCTTAAGATAATTAAAACCACGCTATAATTTAACAGCAGGATATACTAACTCTATAAGGCTTATATACCAGGATAAGCTAGGCTAGAGCTTATAATATAAATACAGTACTTAGGCGGACTTAAGAACTCTAAATCCAATCTATACTAAAAAGCTTAGGTAGATTATAAACCCATATCAAGAGTAGGCAGGGAGTTAGCCGGCTTCGGGCCCTGGTATAGATACCTTAACTCGCTACGACCGTCCTCCAGAGGACTGGAAATTATTTAAATAATAAATCTCGTGATCAAATCGCAGCTCCAATAGTAGTTCATTCATCCCACGCAATCCATAGGGTCGTAGAGCTGTCATAAAGGTCTCTAGATAAGATATAAAGAGATTTCCAAATATATCTTCATCGCCAGCCCCATAATACTAGCCGATACTTTAGTGCTATGTTGCTTGCTAACCGTGGTCTGTTGGCAAGTAAGGGTGGGTTGACCCTGTCTTGGCTGCTCTGTCGCGGTCGTTTTCGTGGATGGATCTTGGTATGTTGGTTGTAGTTGGTGCAGCTGTAGCTGACCCTGCTAACTGTAGGGTAGCTGGGGCTGGCACTGGGATTGCTCCGGCCATAGGGACCAGCAGAGGCGAAATTTTCGGCTTGGAATCCGTGGCCATGTTGTTCTATCCTGAGTAATCGATACAACCTAAACGGGTTTCTCGCGGCTCTAGGCCACTCAACGACCTCCAACGGGTCAATTTGGCGGCGCCAGGCGGCAATATCCTCCTTCTTACAGGGTTCTTCCGAAACCCTCCAAGGATCGATGAAGTTGACTCCATCGAGGAGCAATAACGGCGAGTGAAGGGTCTTGCAGGCGCACTGGCGTGCTAGAGAGAGATTTGGCCGTAGAACCAGCCATTCCTCGAGGATCTGAAAAGAGCCAAATTCAATGAGTGGATGCAGAAGCTATATTGTGTGATGGAGGCTGTTTGGCTGCAAAGCCAGTGACGTGCAAGCCGAAGGAAATCTGCTTTGGTGGGAGCTGCGGGTCAGAATCCAAAATTGAACAAGGTTGCCTGTCGGAGCATGATTCGATGATGCATAACTAGATACTTTGCAAAAACATAGTAAAGTTTTCTACACTAGGTTTCCTCAAAGAGGGACTCGCAGTCGGGACAGTAAGCAAAACTTGCGAACTAGGAGAAAGAAAATACTTCTCAAGACTAGCCGTGGAACTGATGTATCTTCGTGTGCTCTTGAAGTCCCGTATCACGAGCTGTATGTCGCTCTCTCAAACCTCTGGTACATCTCTACGGCCATCTTATCACCCGGCGGCAGCAATTGCTGAAAGTAGCAGTCGCAGACACCATTCTTGGGACTTATCCACCAGAATAAGTTAGGCATCCCACCCTACTGTATGGAACCTTCGCGCCTTCCAACCCGCTCAAGGTCGTCCATAACTACAAGTCCCCCGAGTCCGAAGTCAACTCTCGTCTCATGAGGAATATTTCCCATCAGTGGATTCGATCCAGGGCCCAGGTGATATCGCTTCAGATGTATAGGATCGGCCAGCTGCGGTTTGAACATTTCTTCGACGGATTCAGGCCTCAACAACATCCCGTCGTTCTTATGTATCGATCTCAACAATTTGATGTAGTCATTGGCCGTGCTGAAACAGCCTCCGCCTCCACTCTCCCTGACGTAGAGCGTCCCGTTTTGGACACCAAATGCTTTTAGGGCAGTCTCGCTGCTAACCAACTCCCCATTATCGGCCCTAAATGTCATGAGTGCGGCGCGGGAGAGTAGATCTGGCCGCGTCGAAAGATCAAAAGTCGTGCTGTCCATACCCAGTGGACTCCATATATGCTGTTTGAGGTACTGTGTGAGTGGAAGTCCAGAGACCCTCGCCACCGCAATCCCTGCCCAGTCTAATCCTGTACTGTATGCCCACCCTTCGCCTGGCTCAAAGAGCAGTGGTCCAGAAAAGGCTTTAGCAGGCTCCGTCGAATTCAGATTTGCTGCCTCTTCCGGGTAGTTCTTGCGCACCCACTCACCCCAAGCAGTCATTTTGGGATCCATTGATTCGTAGACTAAGCCCGATGAGTGCGTGAGGAGGCTCCTGAGCGTTATAGGGCGTGTGCGAGGACGGAAGATGGGGCCAGTCTCTTTCACGTCGACAAGTATCTGGACTTTGGCAAGTTCGGGGAGAATGAGGGCAATATCGTCGTTGAGGGAAAGAAGGCCACGTTCGACGAGTTGGAGGACTGCGATAGCTGTCATGAGTTTGGTGCAAGAGGCGAGCCAGCAAATGGTGTCATGTGTGAAGGGCTGTTGGGGGCCGCTGATAGCCGAAAGGGGCTCGAAGGTCCCACTAGCGAGGGCTTGGATAATGTTGCCTGCGTGTACATATTAGCCGATTGCGGAAAGCGATGCCCTCTGCGCAGAAAGCCTCTCTCAACCCCGTCTTCGCTACTCTCCCTCGACTTGGTCTATAAGTTCCATTACATCCTCCAGAACTTTAAGAGTGCGCAGGTTAGAGCAGAACTCACCATCCTTATCCATAGCAATCAGTGCAGCATTTCGAAGGCCCTTTGCATCGCTTATAGCTTCTCGAAATGCATCCTTAACGCTCGCAATCAACTCAGAGTATGCCATAATATAGGTGCGGATACTTAGGTTATTACTTTAATATCTAGAGCGATCTAACTGGATGACGAAGGCTTACATTTATAGTAGCGTCAGTTGGGTCGGGTCTTGCGCGTAAAATCATAAGAATTACAGAACAACAGTCAGGAGCATTTGATTCATCCGTTTCTCTTGCTATATATACATACATATACGTAGCGTGTTGTATATTTGCGGAGGCACCATCCTGCCCTACTAACGCTCCAGGTGACAAGTCTAGTAGCGTTTAGACTGGGGCAGCGATCGGAGATACCGGTGTTTGTTACCAGGCCTGCATGAAACAGAACCAAATGCGAATGTTTTTGGAATATGGCACGAATCAGCATTACACACACACACATATAAAGCCGCGTTCGGCCTCGGAGCTAAGCGGGATGTTAATAGCCCGGCTCGCGAAGAGCTCAAAGGGCGAGATCGGGTAAGTCCGCTTATATCCGAAGCTAAATAATACGTGGGAGACCTAGAATTTGTCCACCAAAAAAAAATCTCCCACCTGTCGATTTCGCCGTGATTTCCGAGACTCCCGAAATTTATGATTGTGTTCACTGCATTCTTCCGCCGGACTTTTCTAGAGTTACGGACCTAAGGACACTCGGACTTTTGATATTTACCGAGTGCGCTAGGAAGAAGCAGTTAATTGAATTAAGTTTAGTAGGCCCGCGTGTGGTTGCATTTATTGGGCGATTATGGCCCCTTTTAACGCCCTGATGGATCCGATACGGTCAATTCGATCAAGGTGATAGCGTTCAATAGAGGCCCCCTCTTTTTCTGTGAGGGGTTTTAGGGTCAATCTCACACCCTTTGACTAGGATCAGGATATCGGTATATCAGAGGATTGTGCCTATCCGGCGCTTATTCCGCCACCCGAGGGTCAATCCAACACGCCCCATAACGATCACGGTCGTTATGTCACGATGTGTATTTTGGGTAGCTGGGCGTGTACATGGCGTGTGACTGCTATAGCAATATCCTTCTAGCTACTTCAGCATAAAGGATGTGTTGGACTGACCCTCGGGTGCCGGACTAGGGGCCCGGATAAGAACAATCCCTGATACATCAATATCATGTCTTGGTCATAAGGGGGGGTGAGATTGACCTAAAAAACCCCTCACCGGGAGAAGTGGGCAGGAAGGATCCTAGTTCCTACAAGCATGATCATCAATACAATCATCTTTGGTCTCCACAGAAAAACCCGTTTGAAGGCTCTGATCATCCTAGCCGTATTAGATCCATCAGGATGTACAGGGACTCAGAGCGGGGACCTGACGCAATCAAGAACAGACATACACCCAATCAGACAGTACAGACAATCTGGGCTCGTGACACGTTATGTCACGATGTGTATTTGGGTAGCTGGGCGTGTACATGGGCGTGTGACTTCTATAGCTATATCCTTCTAGCTGGTTTCAGTATAAGGATGTACAGGGACTCAGAGCAGGGATCATATGCAACTCAGAATATACACACACCCAATCAGACGCCTCACAGAATCAGGGCTCGTGATAATTAGGAGCGCTGTATTAGTTTGCAATTCGGTAATTGCTCTAACGAGCAGGGTATGGCGTGCTCGCCGATGATCCATAAATCCCCGCATCGATTGTCCCCGCCCCGCCTTCTTCGGTCGGGGCCCCGCATCCCCATACATTTAGACCCCGCACTCCAAGATGGGTAGCTACTCGCTCGCTTCGATGTCACCACCAACGCTAGGGGAGTTAGCCTGGCAAGGTCGTCGCATCATGGCCCGAGCCGGGGCCTAAAACCCCGAGCTTCGACGAGATGCGACCGAGTGGTGGTTTGGATCCTTCAATGCCATGGAGGAGGTGCTGATGGCATCCATGTAGAAAATGGCCAGCCCATGGCTGCAAAAAAGCAAAGGGGCTCAATGCACCTACGCCTTAAACAAAAGCAGATCTCACGGCCAAGGCATAACTCATCTATCCTTCCATCTGCCTCTCTACCTGTACCGCCGACTAGCTGCCAGCCATGCGCGTGCCCGGGCTCAGCGCAGCTGCCGCTGCCCTCCTTCTCGCACCAGCAGCAGCCTTGCTGCGTGTCACCCAGTCTGACACCCAGTACATTCTTGAGAATGACGACCTATCCATAGGCATCAACAAGAAGGATGGCGCGATGGGCGATCTAGCGCTCGGTGGCCAAGACCTCGTAGGCACTGGCAGAGGACCCTACCTTGATTGCCATTGCACTCCGGAGGGGCAATGGACCCCTGGAAACTCTGAACTCGCCGAGTTCCAAGTCATCCAGGACGTCGATTCCTCTGGGACCCCCTACGGTGCCATCGTCATGACGGATACTTTTGCAGAAACCGGCCAGACTCTATCGCAGTACTGGTTCTTGAGAGAGGGCGAGACGGGCCTGCATCTCTTCACCCGCGCCACCTACCACGAAGACTCAGCTACCAACAATATCGGCGAACTTCGCACCATGTTCCGCCCTCAAAGGGACTTGTGGACTCATATCTATGGCAGCGAGGGTAACTGGGCCCCGCTCCCACAGGCCAGTAGCCTCGAGGTCCAGGACTCCACAACGTACTACGGCAATATCACTGGAGAGCCTTTTGCCGACGAGTACTCCGATTTCTTCAGCAAGTATGCCTTTTCTGACCAGTGGCGCGACCACAAAGTCCACGGGATGTACACGGATGGCACGCAGAATGAGAATGGTGAATCCTATGGCTCCTGGGTGGTCCATAACCATGTCGATACTTACTACGGTGGGCCCCTGCATTCAGACATCATGGTTGACGGTATTGTGGTTAGTAGACATCTGTACACAGATAAAACCGCATTTGCTAACTTTGCTAGTACGATTACATCGTTAGCAGCCACCATGGCGCACGCACGCCAAATACGACGAGCCACTTCGATCGCACCTTCGGCCCTTCGTACCGCCACTTTAATAAGGGCGGAACCCTGGATGAACTGGCCGCCGATGCTGCCCAGTACGCAGATCCCACTTGGAATGCCGACTTCTATGACGATATCGCAAAGTATGTGCCGAACTACGCAACTAGCGATAAGCGGACCACATTCAAGGCGAAAGTCAAGCTTCCTAATGGCGCCAAAAGGCCAATTGCCGTTCTTGCGGAGAACAGGCAAGACTTCCAAAACAACACCATCCACCCTGAGAGCCTGCAGTTCTGGGGGGATGTTGATCCTAAGTCAGGAAACATTGAGATCCCCCGCGTGGCAGAAGGCACCTACCGGCTCACCGTCTATGCCGATGCTATCTTCGGCCAGTTCACTCAGGATGACGTCGAGGTCTCCAAGTCTAATTCCAAGGCTAAACGTTCTCTCGAATTTAGTTGGAAGGCGGAGAGTGCTGGTAAAGAAATCTGGCGCATCGGCACACCAGACAAGTCCGCCGCCGAGTTCAAGCACGGCAGCAAGCCTTCCACCGAGACCCCTCTGCAACCTGAGGAGTACCGTCTGTATTGGGCCAAGCACGACTTCCCCACTGACTTCCCAGATGGCGTTAACTTCAAGGTTGGTGAGAGTGATCCCGCAGAGGACTTCAACTATATCCACTGGAGTAGAATTTCTGAAGTGGGCAACTTTTTTCGCGATGAGCCATACCTTAAAAACGTCAACAACTGGACTATTCGCTTCGACTTGGAGAGCAGCCAACTTCACAACACCAAACTTGCCACCTTCACAGTGCAGATTGCTGGGCTTAAGACGGGTACCAACAACCCCGATTTTGTCAATCTGCCCTACACTCTCAACATCAACGGCGCCGACGTCGAGACATGGGTCCTTCCATGGTACTACAGCACGTCTTGCGGTGTGAGGAGCGCCGTCAGCTGCTACAACTTCGGCAAGAAGTTTGCTTTCTCGACCGAGATATTGAAAAAGGGCGAGAACTCGTTTGTCTTGAGCCTCCCATACAATGCCTCGAGCATAGAGCCAGCACAACTGCCTTGGACTACCTACCTGCAGTACGATGCCCTGAGGCTGGAATTCAAGTGAGAGGAAGTGGACTTGAGTGTTCTTGTTGACCACGATGGTATATAAATAGCGCGTGTTTTGTTTTAGTTGGTACTTCACAGGTGTCGTACTCTTGCGACGTGTAGGACGCCCAGGGGTTCCGGAACTACAAGAGGCTGTCGAAGTCCGTCGTGGCTACCAGGTAACAAAATAGCCGAAGTACTGAGTGGACATCGAATAAATGGTCTACCCTCACCAGTTCCTTCAATCTGTTGTATACTATGTGATTGGTCCAAGTGACGATTGACCGCGTATTTACGGTTGCCAATGAAGCCACTCAGTAATGAAAGGGCTGAAATTCCGCCTCAGCAGATGTTCACTTGAACCAGTCAGGGCAGCTTGACAACTTTGTAGGTTCCAAACTCGAGCCTAACCCTCATCTAGTACTCGCAACATCGAAGGTCATTTGTTCGATTAAATGTAGCATTATTCACCGCTTTGAGTGTTCGAAGTGGTGAAGTGTTCAATTTGTCACTGGAGCAGAAACGGCCTGCCCCTGATCTGGTGGTCAGGGAGTGGCTTTTCGGTAGTCATATGAGGACTTCTCTACAGCACTGAGTGAAACTACTAAGAAGCGACTTGACTTGGGTAACAATAACTTGCTTGACAAATTTAGACCAATATTATCTGCCCCCTTCGTATACTCAACTCCAACTAATTCTCTCTCAGTAGAAGAGCTCAATGGCATCTACGATCTATTGAAGTACTTTTAGCTTCCATTCTATTCTCATGTTGAGAAGGAATACTCACGAAACTAGGAGACAAGAACCCTTCAGTACTGCTCCCAGAGATAACATTTATCACGAGAGTATTCTTGCCTCTGACTAGGGTGCCGGAGGGGATAGGGTAGGTATAAACACTCATGTCGCCGTGGGTTTTGCCCTTTGCAATACAACGTTAGCTAAGGCTCTCAAAAGTAGCACTTGACGAAAACGAACGAACTTACCTTGGTTGGTCCTCGCGAGGGCGTCACTGGTGGTCCGGAGGGAATTTTGCCCTCAAAGTCGTTCAGGGTAACGCCTGGCCTCCCACCAGATATGGCCATGGTCGTAGCAATTCTGAGTGTTGTTGCTTCATTGAGGGCGGCATCGAGGTTAAACTCAATGACGCGCGCGTCGTTGACGTCTTTGAGAAGGATCATGGGGAAGTCCACATCCTTAGACTTGCCGACAACAAAGGTCGGGGTGTCCCAGTCACCCATTCGCTTGTCAGATAAGTGCATGTGATTCTGTTTGTCCGCGTTCAAGAAGCCAGTCGGCAGGCCGTCGTACTTGCCGATCTGGAAAATGGTCGTCCGGTCCTCTGTGATGATGGGGTTCGAGGCAGCGATGTTTTCAGTCACGGTCGTACCCGCTTTGACGACAACTGTAAAGTTTGCCGCTAGTAGCTCAGCCTGGTACAAGGCCTGGGTGTATTCACCGGGGACTAGAGCAGGGGACTTAAAACTCCCGTTATCGTTTGCGTAGACCCACTGCTGATGCTCATTATTATACCAATGCAGTATCGTGGGGAAGTCGTCTGAGGTACCTGAGGCGATACCTTTGACAAAACCTCTGCCGCTCTCGCCAACGTAGCCTTCCAGGCCGACGTCCTTAAAGAAAGTGGTGTCGAAGTCGCTGACTTTGGGAATGCCGCTCCCCGTGAAGGAGAAGATGTAAGGGCCGTGGAACCCCTGACGGTACGGATCGTATTCTGTATCACCGTGATTCATGTAGAAGGTGACACCATGGTAGTCGGGGCCAATGTTGAGGTTAATATCTCTCGCGAATGGCCCCCCAGATGAAGCATCGTAAGCTCGGACGGGCTTGACAAAGCATGCATGCACTGCGGGAGAGGCTCGGTAAGCGCAGTGAACCGGATCGTCGATGAAACGGTCATTTGAATAGTACTAGAGTCTGCAGTGAGCATATAAATTTCTGCCAGTTGGTCACCTACTCACTCACCTTTGATCGAGTTTCGCTTCCAACGATATATACATCTTTGCCTTCAATAACTGTTCCGTTTCGTGTGTCTGAGACATTCCCATGCGGGTACGCTAGATCAAGGTCACTAATGAGACGGAAGATGAAGCGCAGTTCCCCGTAGGAAGGTTCCGAGTACGTGTATGTACCCAGATAGATTTGATCATGGCCATCGATGAAGACGTAATATTGGATGACGTCGAGATCAGCGCTCTGCGCACTGCAGGTCACAACGACATAGTCATCTAGCGTAATCCGTCAGGAGACTACACAACGACTTGCGGCAAGTAATGAATACCGCTGTAAATAAACTCACCGACAGTCTTGTAAGAGACTTCATCCGCATCGATGCCAGAAGCTAAGTGGCTAAACGCCCCTTGGTACTGGAACTCCTCGCGTCGGTACACCAGGGACGTGAAGTCACAGGTGTTGCTGATGGTTGCGGACAAACCGTCTGTTGATTCGGTGTCAATTGTAATCGAGCCATCATCGCCGTCTGTGACAGTGATTGCCAACGCCCGGCCAGCGAGGTAAAGGAGTGGAAGAGAAAAGCGTAGGCCAAACATTGCGAGAATCAGCGTTCGGGTTCAGTGGCAATTGGGCTGTAGGCTGTGTTGCCGTCTAAGTAGTCTCCTATCCTCAGCTGGCAGTCGTTTGGACTTATAGGAGTCTCCAAAGCTTTCCCCGCGGTGATTTGAAGGCAGTATACGTTACGTATTAACAAGGCGCCGGAACGGAAACGAAATTTAAGGACGCGTTTTGGCTAAGCCTGACCCCTGTATTCGTCAGATTGTCAGGTCCAGCCGCGAACGTACGCAAACATGGGGTAGCTTTCCACCAATTACATTTGCCCCATTCGCCCTTTGGGAATAACAGCGATTTCTCGGTATAGAACCACCCGAGGAAGGATGCAGATCTTGGGGGGCAGTTATCTTTACAAACACCACGGTATAGGATTCTCCGCCTATGATCGCCACTCTTCGTCCCAGAGTTCCCGAAGGTGGGGAGAGCGGTGTTGTATTCGATTATCAGGCGGAGATGGCTGCAACCGCAAACTCGTCGTGTAAGGAAGGTCGCAACGTAGGAATACTGCACCGAGCCCGGAGAGGAGAGTTCCCTCCTGTTGGGAGCTTGGGAGTCCTACATGGATTGCAGCAGACTTGCTACAGATGACCGAGACGGAACTTTTAACTTCCGTAGCGGCTTCATATACGACAACGCTATTTGCGGTGCATATTTCTGCCTAATCCATCACTCAGCCACAATATGATCTCGCACTTTCATGTCGATATGCGAGTGCAAATCGACATCGACGCCGCCTGCAGTTGCTTGTGGAACCAGCGTTACTGATCCCGAGTCTACATACAATCTAAAGGAAATTGCCAGAATGGGATATTATTCCAATGTAAGCCGACAAAAACAAATAACGTACGGAGGTCTCTTTCAAAAGTTTTGCGCAAGCACCCCTGGCAACGTGCGGGGTCGCTCGGCCTACATTGTCGCGATTTTGCAAGACTCGTTGTCGAGCCGATGATCGTCATATGTATCTTATCCGCCGTGGATGAGCATTTAAGTCTAGGCGATGCAACGGATCACCAAGGCGACTAGCTGGTATGTACTCCTCAGTGAATGTTTTCTGAGACCGTACATCCGATTTTTGTCGCAATGAGGCTGCTTTCCCTTTTGTCGCTTGCTGCCACAGCTTACAGCGTGGCCGTGCTACCCAAAAATGCCCCCAATGGCATCAAACTCAGCGTGCCTATCGAACCGGCCAAGCGAGCTCTCCTGCAAAACCTCGTAACATGGGATGAAAACTCCCTGTTCATCAAGGGAGAACGCGTTATGATCTATAGTGGCGAGTTTCATCCTTTTCGCCTGCCATCGCCTTCTCTGTGGCTGGATATCTTTCAAAAGATCAAGGCTGCGGGCTTCAACACTGTTAGTTATTACAACATGTGGGGCTTGAATGAGCAAACCCGAGGGGACTTCCGTGCAGAGGGAGTCTTTGATATGGTGCCTTTCTACGAGGCTGCGTTGAAGGCTGGGATCTACCTGATTGCGGTTAGTGGGCCCTTATCTGTTCTCTCGTGATAACTTCTCCCGATTCAGCCATCAAGGTCTGCATCTGCTCATACTTCAATAGAGACCTGGGCCGTATATCCATTCAGAATCTACCGGGGGCGGTCTTCCGGGATGGGTGGCTAAGATTCCATCGCAAATTCGGAGCGCTGACCCGCTCTTCATGAATGCTTCAGATGTGTAAGTTGCCGGCTCTTCGCCAATCATCAGGAAAACCTAACTGACCTGCTGTGGAGGTATCTCGCCGGTGTCGGCGCCGCTATTGCGAAATATCAAATCACAAACAGCGGACCCATCATTCTCACCCAGATTGAGAATGAATATAGCAATTGCAATGACGGGACAGGAGGTTGTCTCGAAGCTGGTTGGATGCACCATATCGAGGATAGGCTCCGGGAAGCCGGCATGGTGATTCCAGCTATCTCCAACGATGGGTCTCCCCGAGGACGTTGGGTGACCTCTGGGGGGTACAAGATTGATATATACGTGAGTCGATAGCAGGACCTTCTTCCGGATGCAATTTCCCTTGCTGTTGTTTTCGAACTAACGCATAGCTAGGGGCATGATGGTTATCCGATGGGCATTGACTGCGTAAGTTGCATACCTGGAAGGGTATGACTATGCTCTACCACTAATGCCGGGTCTAGTCGCGTCCTGATGAGTGGTACAACGGGAAAAACAAGAACTTGCCAACAAATTGGGCCGCGCTGCACCAGCAGCAAAGTCCCTACACGCCCTATGCTGTCCTCGAGGTGATTGCTCTACAGTCAAGACAAATGCCATGTTACTCACAAGCAGTTCTTAGTTCCAAGGAGGATCGCCGTCGGGCTGGGGAGGTCCCACCTACGACCAATGTGCGGCGTACTTAAACCACGAATACGCACGGGTTTTCAACAAGAACAACTATGGCGCTGGCGTGAGAATTTATAACCTCTACATGGTAATTTCTCCTTCCTCAAGCCGTCCGTCGGAGAAAGCACTCTGAATATCTGCACAGACTGTTGGTGGAACGAATTGGGGTGGAATCTCCTACTCTGAGGGCTTCACCTCGTACGATTATGGTGCGCCAGTGTCGGAAGATCGAAGCATCACTCGTGAGAAGTATAGCGAGATTAAACTGGAGGCCCAAATGCTCAAGGTCTCTCCATCGTTCCTCGTGGCAAATCCAAGCAACTACACCATCGGCCGATATAGCCCGAACAAGAATGTCGCCATTACCCCTGTCTTGGGAAATGCCACCCTCAGCGATTCTAGGACTAACTACTTCGTTGTTCGCCATGCGAACTACTCGACCGACGACAACATAAGTTATACACTTGTGCTGCCCAGCACGGCCGGTAATCTTGCGATCCCTCAGCTTGGTCATGGCAGTCTCACGCTGTCCGGGCGTGACTCGAAAATCCATGTTACCGACTATAATGTCGGCGGTATCAACGTTCTGTACTCCACGGCAGAGATTTTCACCTGGAAGAAGTTCTCGAAACGAACCGTCCTTTTGGTGTATGGTGGTCCCGGGGAGCTTCACGAAATCGCCGTGAACACCACCCCCACCGTCAACAACCCCAAGCCAGTCGAGGGCAAGGGCGTGGAGATCCAAGCGCTGAAGGGCAGCAAGGATAAGGCATGGGTTGTCCAGTACGTTGCCACGCCACAACGCAAAGTGGTACAGATTGGAGATTTGTTCATCTACCTGCTAGGTGAGTAGGATCCAGTGGACCCCAAGATTACTCCGAAAGAAGACACTGATGAGGGATGAATAGATCGCAACTCAGCATATAACTACTGGGTGCCAGATATTGGAAAAGACCCCTACGGCACGTCCCTTATGAACCCGGATTCTGTCATTGTTAAGGCGGGATACCTTGTCCGTAACGTCTCGGTCTCTGAAAATGGACTCTATATTGACGCAGACTTCAATTCTACTACCTCCGTGGAAGTCATCGGGGTACCCAATGGGGTGAGCGAGTTGTACCTCAATGGTGTTCGCAAAAGGCATACCGTGAGCGCTCTGGGAGACTGGCAAGCCAGCCTCTCCTACAGAAAGCCCCATTTTCAGCTCCCTGATTTGTCTGCCCTCAAATGGTCTGTCTTGGATTCGTTACCGGAGGTCGCCCCGCGGTACAACGACTCGCTTTGGACAACTGCAAATCTCACCGCAAGCTTTTTTCCTGAAGAGCAAAGAATTCCGCTCTCCCTCTATGCTGATGACTACGGCTACCATGTTGGCGCCATCGTATATCGAGGCACGTTCACTGCAACAAGGAGTAAGAAATCCGCCTTCATTCTCACAGCCCGAGGCGGCAGAGCCTTTGCCGTTTCCATCTGGGCCAACGGCGCTTTCATTGGCAGTTACGATGGATCAGGAGGCATCAAAGCAATCTATGAGACCGAGTTCACCATTCCCGAAGGTGTGCTCACTGTTGGGCAAAATGCCACGCTGACCATCCTCCTCGACCACATGGGACTAGAGCAGAACATTCCTGGCGCCTCAACGAGCAAGATCGCCCGTGGGATCATAGCATATGACCTCCAAGGTGTGGAGGCGGCAGACATCACGTGGAAACTGACTGGAAACTTGGGGGGTGAGGCGTACTACGACAAATGGCGGGGGCCTTTGAATGAGGGTGGACTCTTCGTTGAGCGCATGGGCTACACGGCTCCATCTCCCCCGTTGATTGACGCCGGATTCAAGTCCAGAAGCCCTTTCAAAAGCACCGGTGGACCTGGTGTGTGGTATTATACCACCAAGTTCAATCTTGATTTGCCGTCTGACAAATGGGATATTCCCCTCCACTTTGCATTTGAGAACCAGACTGAGACTCTGGGCCATTACCGGTCCCTCCTCTATGTCAATGGATGGCAATTCGGCAGGTATCTCAGCAATGTCGGGCCTCAGTCGACCTTCCCAGTCCCCGAGGGTATCCTGAACTACAACGGCGAGAATTGGATCGGCTTGACAGTCTGGGCCTTGGACAAGGAGGGGGCTGAGGTACCATCTCTCAAACTGCAAGCCAGTACACCCTTATATACAAGTCGGCAGCCGGTGGCACTTGTTGATAGTCCGCCTTTCAAGAAGAGAATCGGTGCATATTAGATGAGGCCATCTATCAAGACCTCCTCAGGCTTTCTAACTATACGCGTATGGTTTAGTTAAACCATATTGTGACGGTCAAGGTTCCCAACGTATTAAACCGTAACCTGATTGGTTTATGTTGGCAGTTGTGACGGGGCATAGCGTGCTGAGCGTAGGGTCGCGTATCACATCTGATGATGTCAAGAAGTATTCTTGAGTAATCAAGTTATATTGAAAGCTGGAGAGCTATCTAGACATGGGAGAGTGCAAACGAGTGAAGCTATATACTATTCTGATTTGCTTGGTCGATCATAGTCGAACGCGTTCTCGTTCGACCTGTTCGACTATTTAAGGTTAAGGTTTCATTTTTGGTCGAACGTGGTCGAACGCGCTCTCGTTCGACCAGTTCGACCACATATCACTTCTACCGGGGTCTGTTTGTTCCGTTCCGAGCTCCGCCGTTTCCCGTTCGTACCCGGTTGATCTCCCTGGGTCGTAACATGTGCCCAGTAATTGCAATCAATGTGATTATTGACCAATCTTTTGCCCCCTGGTACAGCGGTCTAGCATAACCGTTACAGATTCTTAAAGATATTAAAATGGGTTGAGGCAGTGAGACTCTTAATTGTTAAATATTAGGGTGAAAAATTGTGTACAGTAATAGCCGCGAAAGATGTCCGCCAATTGAATGTTAAATATTTCCCCGCACGGACCACTTTGGGGTTTTGTGGCTTCATACAGTGCAAATATATATTGAGCACGGAGTACCCCTGCAAGGTGGCACTAACATTTCTGCCCTTCCATTTTTGGCTCTGGCTAACATGGCTGACAGAGGCATCAGGCACACCACTCCGTACTTAAACTGACAATCACCCCCGAAATTTTACGTGTCGCAGCCACCCGAGACCTGCAGGCTGTGCCCATCTTTCTCCCATCAGGTTGGACTGAGTAAGAACAGAATATCTCCCTTCCACTGATTTATCTGGTAAGATATAAGATGATTAGTCACCCTTGCTGTGCGGAAAAATGGTCGGCACGAGCTTCTAAAGAATGGCATGGAATGTCATGGAATACTTGCGTCTTTGCATTCGCTGGGGCACGTCCCCGCTGCGTCCCTGGCTGGCGTTCCTGGGGTGATTCCCTTGTGGCGAGGTGCACTTGCCCTCCTCTTCTCCTCTTGCCTTGTTCGACAAGCTCGCCACTATGGATAATGCAGGCTCCGACACTCGAGACGGAACAATCATTGAGGGCAAAGATATGTCACATTTCGGGGTCATCCTGAGACGCATGATAACCTCATTTCTGGCTTTCCTAGACAACGCGACTTTTCTTTCTTTCTCGGACCACATCGCCGGCCCTATGACCACGATCCCGGTCCCCGGTCCCCACAGGGCCCCGGCCCCTGTGCGGCGGCGACGGACTGCCGCCTCCGGCAGCAGCCGTCTTCATCGTGTATAAAAGACGGGCTCTAGGCCCGTCCCTTAGCTAGAAATCAAGAGCTTTCATCATCATCATCGTGATCCTATCCATTCAGTGTGACAAGATATATATATCGTTGGAGACGAAACTCGATCAAAGGTAAGCAGCCGACTATTTGACAGACTTTCATATACTCACAGCAAAGTCAAGCACTACTCAAATGAGCGTTTCATCGACGATCAAGTCCACTGCGCCTACCGAACGTCTCCTACGGTGCATGCATGCTTTGTCAAGCCTATCCGAGCTTTTGACGCCTCCACCGGTGGGCCATTTGGTAGGGATATTAACCTCAACCTCGACGAGTATCAGGCCGTCACTTTCTACATGAATCACGGAGAAAAATTTTACGACCCCTATCGTTAGGGGTTCCACGGCTCTTATATCTTCTTGTTTACGGGTAGCGGTATTTCTAAAGTTAGCAACTTTGATATTATCTTCTTTTAGAATCTTAATCTTAAAGGTTATATTACTAAGAGCAGTAGAGGCTATATTAAGGGTATTATCTTAGGTATATTAGATAAATACCTAAAGATGCTATATTGGTATAATAATAAGTATTAGTAATAAGTTTATATAGATAATAATAAGAACTTTAAGTCTCTAGTACTTATTACTAGAGAATATACCTAAGTTTTATACTAGGGCAAGTTACTAGCAGCAAACTTTACTATTATTATTAAAATAGGTAAAATTATAATAAAAGATATTGCTATCTTAAAATCTATTATTATATAAGACTAGATAACTATTTTCTAGATTAGAGAATATAATAGCAAATCTACTAGCTTTTTAAATATAGATAAGATATACTATATATATCTATCTAATAAGCAGATAGGCAATTGGGATACTGCAACTTTTATTGTAAGAGAGTCGACCGACGAGGAATTCCCTATAATCATTTTCAAGGACCTCAATAATGCACGCGTCGTCCAGTTTAACCTTGATGCCGCCACCGACAAAGCAACGACGCTCAGGATTGCCACGACCATAGCAATCTCTGGTGGAAGACCTAGCATTGCCGTAAACGACTTTACGGGCGCAGATCCTTCTGGGCCACCAGAAACACCTTCGCGATACCCGACCAAGGTATGTTTGGTCTTTGAAAGTGCTACGTTTGAGTATATCAGCTAAGGTTGTGTTGCAAAGGGCAAATGGCACGGTGACATGACTGTCTACACTTGGGCCATTCCGGCGGGCACCCTTGTTAAAGGCGAGAATGTCCTTGTGATCAGTGTTGTCTCTGGGAGCAATGGTGACGGCTTCTTGTCTCCTTCTTGTGTAAGTCATCCTTCAAATGTGAAGGGAATAAAACCTAAAACCGCTCCGATAGGTTCTCGATGCTATTGAGCTCTTCTATTGAGAGTTGAGTTTGACGAGAGATTGTGGCAGCGGTGACGGCACCGGGGTGGGGCGGCGTAGAACAACCCAAATCCAAACTTGCTTTCTAACTTTGTATTATTTCAGAAGCGCCTCTACCGATTTAGTAATTTCATTCAGCGTATTGCAAAAAACTCTTAAGTAGATACCTTCGAGTTGTTTGGGGGAGTCCAAGAAAATGGTCCAGAGGGCTCGTTGATCACACATCGATTTCACTGCTCATGCGAGTGTGCTTATCATTCATTCAGTAGTGGCGGCCGACAAAACTGAGAGGAGCAATGGGGCAGGTGGCTGAGAAACTAGCTAGTCCGTCATTTGGAAACAACGCTCTGTCGGCCATGGGAACAGCTGCCCCGGTTGTCATGACCGCCAGACCTGAGGGAGTCAAGTGAAGCTTCTCCCCGGACACAAGCCGGATGGACTGGTATGCTGCGGGGATCGCGTAGGTACCTGGCAATCAAACTTGGTTCTCTCCTTGAACGGCAACAATGCCTAATTAGGAGCAAGTGTGGCCAACCCCGCATATTTCCCCAGGCTACCCCGATCACGTCATTGGAGGTCGGTGTACGTTTGACCGACAGGACTTCATTGCCGTGATAGCCTCCGCTCCACCCCGGGATAGGGTGTCCTTCGGCCACATCTACCACGAGAGTATTGGTCGCTAGCAAGGGTCCTATGTCGTCCTTCGGCACATCTAACACGAGACTGTTGATTCGTTAGCAGGCACTCGTGGCATCGTTTGGCACAAGATTTTCCACCACTATTAAGATGACGGGGATTGTTTCGAGCTAGCATGGGCACTTCTACGAGTTACCAGCAGGCAGGTTGAGGGCAGCGGGCAATATAAAGTTCGAAGGCATAGCCATGACTAGGCTCTAGACTCTAGACAACACGGGCAATCTTTGCTAGTTGTCAAATCAATATGGTTTATATTCGACGTGTGTCGCACGCGCTCCTCTCTTTGGGGTTGCTGCTGTCCGCAAACCAGCTAGCTGGCGCTGCCTCAGTCAGGTCACCCGGACGTGATCAACAGGAGCCCCCGGCGTCTTGTCGAGAGCGAGACAACCTCAACTCCGGATGGCGGTTCTGGCGCTCCGAGACAAACCCGGATGGGCTCATATACGACCAGCGCCCAGACCTCGCCAATCTCACGGACGCCACTACGCTTAAGTCATGGATTCTGCCCTCAGCCAACAGGTTTATCAGGGATCCGACAAAGCATCACCAACGCCCTAAAGGCCACCCGGGCAGCGAAGTCCCCTATGTGCAAAACCACTTCGATGACAGCAATTGGGAAGACGTCACCCTGCCGCATGACTGGGCTATCAAGGGTCCTTTTTACACCGAGCCCGACGATGTGGCCATCATCGACAGCCGAATGGGCCGTTTGCCCGTCCACGGCGTGGGTTGGTACCGCCGCAAGCTGCACGTGTCGCACGAGGACAAGGGCAAGAAGCTCTATCTCGAGATCGACGGTTCCATGTCTTACACTATGGTCTGGCTCAACGGCGAGCTGGTGGGCGGGTGGCCGTTCGGCTACAATTCGTTTCGCCTGGATCTGACTCCGTACGTCGAGCTGGGCAAGGAAAATCAGCTCGCCATCCGTCTCGACAATCCTCGACTGTCGTCGCGGTGGTACCCCGGCGGCGGCATCTACCGTAGCGTGTGGCTCAGCAAGGTCGCAACGACGCACGTTGGCCAATACGGCACCTTCATCACGACCAAGGACGTGTCCACCAAGTTGGCGACTCTAGACCTTGTGGTCGAAGTGGAGAACGATGCAAAGGAAGCGACGGAGGTCCAAGTGGAAACTTCTGTGCACGTGTATGATGCGAAAAAGGGGCAGCCCGACAAGAAGGTGGCTGACTTCCCGCGTGCGACGGTGAAGGTCGACGCAGATGGAAAGAAAGCCACCAGAAAGTCCGTCAAGATCAAGCATCCGAAGCTCTGGGGCCCGCCGCCTACGCAAACCCCTAATCTCTATGCTGCCGTCACTAAGATATACAATACCCATGGCAAGGAAATTGACAGCTACACGACACAATTCGGCATTCGCAGCGTTGAATTTACCTCTGATGACGGCTTACTTGTCAACGGCGAGCGTATCCAGTTCCAGGGTGTCAATGAGCACCATGATCTAGGGTCTATCGGAGCCGCCTTCAATCTGAGGGCCGCGACACGGAAGCTCGACGCGCTGAAGGAGATGGGCGTCAACTCGATCCGCATGTCGCACAATCCTCCCGCCACTGAGCTGCTCGAGTTGACTGACAAGATGGGCTTCCTGGTCATTGACGAGATTTTTGACTGTTGGAAAACCGCCAAGAGAGACAATGACTACCATCTCGTCTGGGACGACTGGCACGAGCCTGACCTGCGGGCATTCATCCGACGCGACCGCAATCATCCCTCCATCATCATCTGGAGCTTCGGCAACGAGGTCCGTGAGCAACGGAATGACTCCACTGCTCCTCTGGTCTACCCATTGAAGAACATAATCCTCGAGGAGGACACAACACGCCCGGCCACGGTGTCCCTGAGCCACGTCAGGCCGGGGACGCCAGGAGCCGCACTCATGGACGCCTCGGACATCCTGAGCGTCAACTACCAGGGCGCTGGCATCTCTGACGGGCCAAACTACGTCCAAGTGAGAGACAACGCCTCCTACACTCCTCCCGCCTATCCTCTCTTCCACAAGGTGTACCCCGGCAAGCTCCTCGTCGGCAGCGAGACGGCTTCGTCTGTCAGCTCCCGGGGCACGTACATCTTCCCCGTGACCCTTGAAAGCGCTCCAGTCAACGAGACCTCTGGAGGTAACGCGACGCTGGGCCATGTCAGCGCCTATGAGCTGTACACGTCCGATGCAGGGTCCAGCCCTGACAAGGTTTTCGCGTCAGAGAGAGCGAGCCCGTTCGTTTCGGGCGGGCTTGTCTGGACAGGTTGGGACTACCTCGGGGAGCCAACACCCTACAACACCTCTCGGAGCAGCTACTTTGGCATCATCGACATGGCGGGCTTCAAGAAGGACCGGTTTTTTATGTACCAGTCACAATGGCGTCCAGACCTGCCCATGGCGCACCTCCTGCCGCACTGGACGTGGCCGGACCGCGAGGGCAAAGTGACGCCAGTCCATGTCTTCACGTCGGGCGACGAGGCGGAGCTGTTCCTCAACAAGAAGTCGCTGGGGCGCAAGAAAAAAGGCGACCAGTACCGCCTCCGCTGGGATGACGTCAAGTATGCGCCGGGCGAGCTGCACGTGGTGGCGTACAAGGGTGGCAAGAAATGGGCCGAGGACACGGTGCGGACGGCGGGCGAAGCAGCCGCGGTGCGTCTGACGGCGGATCGCACCGAGATTGACGCTGACGGTTACGACTTGTCCTTCATCTCGGCCGAGGTGGTGGACAAGAATGGCAACGTGGTACCCGAGGCAAGCCATACCATCCGCTTCTCTCAGAACGGCCCTGGCGAGATCATCGCAACGGACAATGGAAATGCGGCGAGCCTAGTGTCGTTTGCTTCCTTGGAGAAGAAGGCCTTTAGTGGCAAGGCGCTGGCGATTGTGCGGTCCACGAGGGACGGCAAGGGAGCCAAGGGTGGGAAGATCACTGTCTCTGCTGAGGTTGACGGCCTTAAGGAGAGCAAGGTCACAGTGAGGGCGAATTAATGGCCGGCGTTTCATACATAGATAGGAAAGCGTGGGTAGGGAGACCAGAAAATGGTGGTGAGAGGCGTCAATCGGATGTGGTCCTATCTAACAGGTATCGACCGAAATATCACCTTCAGTGACGAATTGAATACTCTACCTTGAGAGATTCAAAGTGATTAACAATGCCACGTTCGATCGAGAAAGAGACTTGTGATGCCGCGACTACTTGATGAGGGCAGGGCTCGAGTTTGTGTCCTGCGGGGCTGTAGAGCTGACTGCATAATTCAGGTGAAAACCTACACAGCCAATTTGATATTTTAGCTACCTAGCTACCGCGACGACGCCTCGACAGCCTTTTGAACTTTCCATTCGTATGTTATCATGGCCGGCGGAAACACTCCAGTCCAGTTTCTCTTACTTAAACTCTAGCCTAAGGGCATCGTATTGGACGTAGGTAGTCCAAGGCAGCTGTGCCGGTTCTACGCTTGAGGTATTATATAGAAGGCTTAAGATAAATAAGTTCTCGCTCTTCTTTAAGATATTAGTTAGGAAAATAAACTTCTTATTAAAATTATAGTAGCTAATCTTACTTTTTATACTATAAGATATACTATAGTATTATAGAAGAATTTATATTTTAATATTAGTATTATTAATATTAAAGGTATAGGGTAAATTAATATAGAGTTATTAGTATTTATTTTAAGTTTAGTAATTTAAATTATAAAAATAGTATACTTAGTATTATAAAGTTAGTTTTTATTTAAGTTAAAATAAATAGTTTAGTTATTAATATTTTTAAGATATAATATATTATAAAAAAAGTTTTTAACTTTAAAAACTTTATTTTAATAAATATAATTAAAGTTTTTTATAAAATTACTCTTATTTATCTTAAAGTTAAGATTATTTAAAAAGTTTATAAAAAAGTTATAAATAGCTTAATATAAATAATACTTTTTAAATTATAGCTTAAATTTAATTTAAAATTTATAGCTATATTTAAATTTACTAGTAAATTTATTAAGCTTATTAATATATTAAATTTCTTTATTAACTTTCTTTTTATTTTAGCTAAATTTATAAATATTTATTAAGTTATATTTAAACTTAAAAATTATAATATTATTATAAGTAAATTAGCTAAAAATTCTATTAATATAAATAATAAGCTAGTAAATACTTATTATTATTTAAGAGATTTTAATATTTTTTAACTTATTAATATCTCTTTAAAATTATAAGCTATTAAAGTAAATTATATTATTTTAAAATTTTTAATTACTTTTTATAAAAATAGTAATTAGCCTTTTAATATTATTTAAAAAGTTAATTTTTACTTTAAATATAATTTATTTATTATTAATTTTATAATTTAATATATACTTTATAATATTATTATAAAAGTTAATATTTTAAGATTAATTTATATACTAAATAATATTAATAGCTAGTTTATTTAAAATACTATTTTTATTAAAGTAATAATATAAAAAACTTTAAATATAATTAAAGCTATTTATTATATTTAGTATATATATATTATAATAGTTACTAACTATATAATTATACTAGTAAAATAAGTATATATAAGTTTTTTTATATATAAGTAGATATTTAATAATTATAATATTATAAGCTATAATATTTAAATATAAAAGCTTATTATAATAAGTTTTAATATTATTATAAATTATTTATAAGCTAAGAATTTTACTAGCCTTATTTATTATATTATTTAAGTATATTTTATAAACTTTATAATTATATTATAAGCTAAAAAAGCTATACTTTATATAAAAGTTAAAATATTATATAAAAAATTCTTTTATAATATTACTAAAATATATTATAATATTTTAAATATTAATATTAATAAACTTAAAGTATAATATTTAATTATTCTTATTATTATAAATATATATTTATAAAATTAACTTAAGTTAAAATAAAATATATAACTTATTTATATTACAATTAATAATATTATTATTATAAATAATATAAATAAATAAATATAAGTCTATCTTATCTTCTCTTAAAAACTAATACTATAATAAAATCTAGTTAATTTTATAATAAGTATCTATTATAATAATACCACTATAAGCAATTCTAGAGAAGTCAGTATCCTTAATAAGCTAATACTTAACGAGTTTAGAGTTCCCAGAGGCCCACGACCCCTCCGGAACGCAATAGCAGTCAAGGTAGAGTCCTCTACCCGTACCTACGAGGTCCTGGCCACCAAGCATCAAATCGCCTATCTGGCCATTCGTCTTGTTGATAGCAACATAGAGGTCGTCATTCTCGAGAATGTACTGAATACTGGACTTAATAACACGCAAATAGCTGCTGCTAGAGCGAAAATAAAGGCAGTGACAGCTGCGCTGAGCCTAGACACGCGCATGGCTGGCAGCTAGTAGTTAGACGGATAGATGGAGGGATAGATGGTAAATGTCTTGGCGGTGAGATGCGGCTTCTTATTGGGGACGCGGATTCCTTACGTCCCTATACTTTGCTGCTAAAGCCTGTCGGCCTGTTACATAAATGCCTCCCCGTCTCATCCATGGCCCGACTCGGGCCATGATAGCACGAAGATATCAAAACCCCTGGTTTTTGTCAACGCAGTGCGAGCGAGTAGCTAGCCCTCTTGGGCTTGCGGGGTTCAGGGGTGGTAAAGTTGCGGGGGCCAGCTGAGGAAGGCGGAGAGAATTAGGCGTATTGGTTGTTATTTTATTTGTATTTGAAGTTGAATAGTGATTTTAGATGTGGTGTAAGTGGAGTGGTCAGCTAAGCCCCTGATCCGTTAATTGGTGGGTCAACTTAAGTACCGTTGCTATAACCAATGTACGCACCTTCCAGTGGTCGATGTCTGTTTTTGAATAGAAAGCTATAAGTTGTATGAGAGGTAGGGTTATGACATGTTCTATAACATGTTTCAGGTTAAATACTGTTCTCTTATGGCTGTTGTCGCAATTCACCTGGCCATTTCAGTACTATGCCGTTAGTTGAAGGTCTAAGCTGGCAAAGGGACTTATATACACGGTCTATATAGATGCAATACATATCTCTCATATTGAAATTGTAAGACCTAGATGCTACCATGAAGAATTCGACGCCGTGAAAATTGATCAAAATATAGAACATCAACCAGACTCAAAACAAACCTAGTAAAATTGTGTACTGGAAGTAGTTTACCCTTACCCCATTAGAGTCACTCATTTCTACGTATTCTACCCGTGAAAGTGCTAGTGAGCGGCTTATCTCAACTCCTCGCAGTCGATTCAAAACCAAGACTAACATCCTTGAGACCCTAGACTCATTAGTTATGTTATTTTACTGAATCCCATGCTCTATAAATCAGTATGGCAAGGCTTGAATCTCATCTATCACTTACGCACCAGTGACCTATCAGAAATTGCTCGCACTTCACCAATATTACGTCTTCAGTATGGGATGGATAGAGTAGAATGATGAAGCACATAAAATATATTTGGATAGAGTAATTCGAGGATGCTAATACAACACTCTACATCAACTAGAATAAAATTCAGGGAAGAAAGACTAGGCCGAGCCCAGACCGAATCAGCAATCCTCCCTATTGAACAAGATCAAAACCCCTGTGAGAGCGCTAACTTGAGTATTCTGTAGCGTCGGTGGTTAATGATATTTCAATATCCTGTCGTTTCATTAACTGCTGCAATTGCCACAGAAATTATTGAGGTGGCTGGTATTTATTGCGAGTACGTCACCAAGCCATACTTTGCGAAACTATGGGTGAGTGACATAACGGACCACACCGCTTGCTAGCGTTCTTTTGCCCACTGCACTGAACGTTGAAACTGACACTAGGCAATATTCCAATAAAGATCAGTGTAATACGCAACATTTTGCTTGTCCTCGCCGTATTGTCGGTGCTCAAGTTCTACAAGGCCCTTAAAACTCACACCAAGGAGCACAAACCTCTAGCCAAGCTGTTTGCTTTTAAGTTAGTGGTTGGACTAGGTTTTCTACAGAGAGTAAGCCTTCCGTACTCATTTCGAAACATGTGCAGGCGAACTGATTTTCTGACACTAATCATCCTAACCAAACAGATCATATTTTGGATCCTTTCAGATATCAACGCACTCGACCCGACCGACACTCTCACCTTTGCGGATATCAATATTGGTATTTCAAACTTACTCACATGTCTTGAGATGGTCCCATTGTCCATCTTCTTCCTGTATGCATATTCATGGAACCCCTACCTTATCCATAATCTCCCGAGCTTAGCTCAGGGCCAACAATCCCGTTACCATGGAGGCATCATAGGAGTACGTGCCTATGTGGATATGATAAATACCAGAGAAATTGTCGACGCGATTGCCTTTGCTTTCACAATGAACTCAAGAGACAGTCGTCTGGCAAAGATGCGAGCCGAGGAAGATAGCCTGTTACCCGAGTATACCGCATTGGAGGGCCAGTACCAAAGGAGAGGTGGATAGTTTGGGGGACTTTAGACCATGGATCCAGTCATAACACATATTGTAGGCTTCTTTCCGAAAGGAAGCATGAGAAGGATGTATGAGGGCAGCGGGCTGCCACCGTACATTCGGTTCATTTTGCTATTTCATCAAGCTGTTAAGATAGTTACAACGCATTCAATGACTCGTCTGTAATTCCACGCAAAGGACTTGAATCTTTCTCTCCACTTTTTCTTTTGTCATGTTTACACATTCCTCAAGTTTCTTGCACCAGATTGTCTTCTGAGACTTACTCCATCCTACAATACTCAGTTCTATCTCGAGCCACCTCAACGCCTTCATCTCTGCCAGTGCGAGTACCATGCATTTCCAGGAGGACTCAGGCATGGAGCTGGCGGCGACCTGGTTTTCGCTTCCAGGCCCTGATGAAATAAATGGGATTTTCCCCTCCTGGATCCTTAGTCGCAAACCCCAGAGCCCAAGAGAAAACAATCGACATAGGTGGTTCCACTTTTCGTGTCCGCTCTCTTGAAAGTCGATTGTAAACGATTCAAGTCTGGCAAAACGCAGAAGTTCCTGTTGCCACGGTGCCAAGACAGCGACAAACGAGTTTGCTAATGACAAGCCAGATGAGAACCAGTTGATAAAGACAAACTCGTTTTCCAAAAATGGCACACTCTTTGCTTCTAGATATACTTGTCTATTTACTACTAAGAGCGACGTAGGTATTCGGGAGAGCGGCCGATTCTGGTGTAGAAGTCGGAGATTTTGTTGTTCTGCTTTGACTGAGAGTTTGCCTGGGTTGTGGCCATCTGACGAAAGTTGAATAGGAGTAAGCTGCGCCACTGGTTCCGGGGAAATGGATTTTGTCATATATATCGTCATGGGGGGAGTAGGGTACCCTGGGTCTAGTTGCGCATGCTGAACAGCATGATCAGCATGCACCCAACTATAGATGTTCAGGCGTATTTCAACGGGTAGTGTTAAAAACGTAAGTCGTTGAGTCATTGAAAGAGATTGATCGTATGGAGGAATTGATATCATTGTCTGGGCGAGCAACATGGGCGCGTCTCACTGTTTCTGAAATGCCAACAGCGAGAGCAGAACCGAACAATTCTTATGTGCGGTATGAGGGGGAACTCAACCACTTAGGATGCTATATCATATCTTGATTTACCTCGGACAATGAAGCATATATTACTTTTCCGAGCCGCGGAAAGCCCAAGGTCTCTGTTGGAGACTTCATCGCTACTCCGTTGTGGAGACGATGAATCGGCGCTCGGGCTTCGGAATATGTCGAAATCGGACAACCACCTCGGAGCACGGGTTCGGAATATGTTCTTGGCGCCAATCTCTGACTCCACCAGCAGCAAATGGCAAAGGAATGATTGGTCCGTTAATTGGCCACCATCTCGGCCTTTCCTTTTCCCCCTAGGACAGCTTGTATCGGCATCGTACGGTCACAAAAGGTGCGAATGGCCGAACTGCGAAAACCCGAAAACCTCATCCTATTCCCAGGGTATAGCAAGCGCCAATCTCACCTTCCCTGGCGCCTCATCATATTGTCTGACCAGGCAGCCTCCGGGGAGTACTCTCGCAGGCTGATTTGATTGGGCTTCGGCTGCGATTTGTCTCCATGTCTCCTCCCCATCCACAAGCCATGCCAGTGGCCACTCCGTCGGCGGCGGTGCCAGCTATGAGGGAGAAGCCTCGCTGGTCATGTACCATCTGCCGGAAACGGAAGGTTGTCTCATTGATCCGGGAAATCACGCTTCTGCGCGAGGTGGCAACGGGATAGCTCAGCTGACTTCCGGTGGTGTAGGTCAAATGTGATGGTGTCGAGCCTACATGCTCCAACTGCCGAAAGCGCGAGGACTCGTGTTCGTACCCACAAAGCAGAAAACGAGCTCATAGTAGCAGAGTGTAAGGTCTAGGGTGATGCTTCAGCACTGCGGCACATACGTCTCTAACACTCGCCTACCGACGTTTAGGTCGTACCGCGATATGTCCCACAGACTAGACGAAATCCAGCGCAAATTATCTCTACATCAAGCGAAACGCGCTGTTGTTGACCAGCCCTGTCAGCAAACCATGACGAATCAAACCGTCCTTGATGAAGGGTCAATCTTGCAGAGCATTGCAGAGGTTACTAGTAATATTTCGCCTAGTCAGTATGTGGCATTTGTTCGTTCTAACCTTCGAGCAGCACCAAACCCGCCAATCTTGGAGCGAGACGGCGGTGGCGAGGGCGAAAATGACGTTGTTACTCACCCCGTTTCACCACTCCCTCCTCTTTCAACCCAACTTAGCTTCCCACTGGAAGGCTCCTGCTCCATACTTTCCCAGCAAAGTGCACTATGGGTCGATACGATAGTGGGAGACAATAGCTTCAGCCAGGTGTTGCAGCATGTGGAAGGTTCACAAAACCTCCCCACACTACATTTCGATGCTAGCCATATGGATCCCCTTCCACCGCAAAATGTGATCAACGATTGTCTAGCAGGTATGCACCACTTATTTAAATTACCCAGATGCACTTGCTCATTCAACTCGGTCAGACTTTTTGCGTCCTTTAAACCAGAATATCTGCCTCTTTCCGGAAGAACACCTGATTGCTTTGGCTCAAAATGGCCCAATCGCTACGGCGTGCCCTGTTGCAAGCCGGTATGCTGCTTTGAGCATCGTTTGCGCAGTTTCCCTTCGCACTATGAGTGGGATGCGAAATGAGCAATCCGAGAAACTTTTGCAAAACACCCTTAAAACGCTTCCATACATCATCACAGACACGCCAGATATCATCACAATCGGTGTATGCTTGTCAACGGTATGAAATCCCGCCCATAATCGATAAAACGATGTGGATTACTAAGAATGAAAGACTTTCTACCTTATGCTCACATCGAGAAACAATCACGCCGCCACTATTCTTGGGGCTGCCGCACAAATGATCATGATAGCAGGGTACAGCAAGCCAGCTGGCTCAAAGATCAACCAGAAATCGGATACGTTTCACAAACAGCGACTCTTCTGGCAAGCTTACATCGTTGATAGGGATCTCTCCATGCGCTTGGGAAAACCGCCCTGCATATCAGACGACCTCCGTCCTCCGCTGCCTGAGGAACAACCAGATGATGGCTACAGTTCACATACATTTGCTGATGGCTCAACCATGAATTTTCTGCGCGAACAAGTGTTACTGGCTGAAATACAGAACAAATGCTATCGCATGCTTCGATCTGGATTCACGTCTAATCACTCCAAAGAACTGCTGTATGCCGGCGTCAACAAACTCGATGAAGAGCTTCAAGGCTGGAGAAACCGGATACCCGAAATTATCAACCCACATAAGCCGCTTCCAAATGTTGAATACGGACTCCTAATGGCTCTCACGACTCTCCATTGCACCTATTTCCAACTAATGATCGCTGTGCACAGCGTAACATTTGATCATCCGTTGAGCAATTATAGTCCAAGTTGCGGTGCAAGCACCAGCCAGGTCAAATGCATCAACGCAGCACGGGCATCGCTTTCATTGCTGGGTTACCACGACGTTCGTCATCCATTTACGATGTAAGGAGCTATTAACTATTTATCTTGGTGTCTTCTTTTACGTCGGCCAAGGACTCACTAAGGTGATATTATACAGATATCTACTTGACCATTTGGCATGGAGTGTCGACGTCATTTTCCTCAATATCCTACAAAACAAAGAGTCACCAGGGGTGCTGAGAGATCTTCATATGCTCAAAAGAATTCTTACCCTCTTCGAGAAGTATGACTCTGACAGAGACAAAGCAAGAGGATACCTCATAGTGCGCGCTCTGCATGGTGTTGCGTCAAGGGCAATCCACAGGGCCATTCTCGCCGGTCGGTTCCAGGGTGAGTGGATGAACCTTGGCACGACCCAGTCCACAGTGTTGAATGATAGCGCCCCAATACTATCTAATGATAGCTCGGAAGCTCGAGAGATACAGACCGAGTTTAAAAGGATACAATTGCTGAGAGTGAGTCGAAATGAAAGCTCGTCGTTGACACTGAGCGGAAAGACGCTGAGTTCGAATGACTGGTTCACCACCGGGATCAATTCAGTTATGTATTCGAACGATTTCAATAGCTTTTAATATGGCTTTTTGTTTGAGATGGTAGGAGTCATGATTGACAAGTACGGCATGGTGGCGGTGGATGAACAATATCAGATTGTTGATAGGAGATGAGGCAGTGTTACGAGCTTGAATGTGAAGCAACAGGGACGACTGTTCTGTGTCAAGAGGACAATGATGCAGGAATATATATTACCTTCAGGTTTTATGCAGAAATGCGTGAACACAGATATAACGATTCCCGCAACTTCGACTTCCCCGTCTCTCAGAACAAGATCCTCGGCAGACGGAGATGTGACGCGACATCAACACTCCACAAGCAGCGGGGGATGACATGTTGGTGGGCTAACTACCCCTGGAAACTTGCTGCATGAGCTCGGGTCGGTGCTTTCGGGGACCGCATGTTACCTTGGCCCAGGTTCCATAAGTGCCGGCTTTTACACACTGAGGCAGGCTATATTTGCTGTCGGTATGACGCGTTTCATCAACATCATGCCCTTGTCGTCACCGGAAATCGCTGGCAAAGGTTCATAGCTTGCTTACCTTAACGTGCCTTAGCAAGATCCGCTAGGGCGCTAACTTCGATAATGTACCCGCAAAATATAGCCAGTAGCCAACTTGACTTCTAAATAACCTTTTTCCTAAACGAAGTCATTATAGACTAATATTAAATATATAATTAGAAGTAAAAATAATATGAAATACTAAGCTTTATGTTAAAGAGAAAGTGGATAGAGGAGTACTGTAGAAAGAAAATCAAGAGATAACCGGGGAGTCAGACATGTAAGTAGTTCTATGTTTAGGCGCAATGTTACTACTGGGACTCATTTCAATTACCCGTAGGGTCTTACTAAGTGGGCTTGCCCACTTAGTAAGACCCTACGGGTAAAGTGGAGAGGACTGGGGTGGACGATGTGGGATGTGGGATGGGATGGGGATTTCTAAGCCGGAGGAGCCATGACCAATCAAGCACATCGGCACGAATTCATCGGGCTCGGCATCTTTAACAAACTCCGGCCAAGTCGCTAGCGACCCTCTTGTGGATTGGCCAGGAACATAATCGAAGCACTGGGCGGATGCAAATTGGGTCCGCTTCGATCGGTGAAGCTAGTTTACATCCGCATAAATACTCTAGTTCCCGTATGTTATAGATAGGTTATCTTCTCAGACTCCGACTCTGCACAGAAACCTCTTCCTGAACTTCATATCGCCCTTTTGTCAACCTATCGTTTTCAACATGACTTCCGTCGTTGCCGTCTCCGGCGGAACCGCCAGCCTCGGTCGTGCCATCGTCGAGGCCATCGTAGCGCTGGGCAAGTACGAGGTTATTGTTCTCTCAAGAAAGGTGCGCATACTCCCGCAAATGGAGCTGTGTTCTCTCCTAACCCGCTATAGGAAAACCCCGAGCTTGAGAAGACCTTGGGCGCCCGCATTGTGCCCGTGGATTATTCCAGCGTGTCTAGCATTGTCGAGGTGCTCGAGAAAAACAATATCGACACACTTATCTCTGCGATCGGTCTGGGCGGATCGGCGCCTCCAGACGCGGAGCTGCCCCTCATTCGTGCCGCTGAGCAGTCTTTCGTCACCAAGAGATTCATTGCGAGCGTGTTCGGCGCTACCTACAAAAAGGAGTGAGTAGCAGGATGCCCTCCTAACCCCCCTTCCCTTGCCTGAATTATACCCGCTAATACAAATCCCACCTTCAGACAGACCTCCTTCTATCCAGCCTCAGGCAAGATTCAGTCTAGAGAAGAGCTGGAGAAAACCACATCGCTAGAGTGGACCACAGTTCTGAACGGCTTTTTCCTTGATTACTTTGGCATGCCCAAGGTTAAGTCATACCTCCAGCCTACTACCCTTGTTCTCGATGTTGCGCACAACACTGCTGGTATCCCCGGCTCCGGCGACGTGCCAGTGGTCTTCACCCATAGTTTTGACGTTGCCAAGTATACAGGAAGACTGCTAGGCCTGGAGAAGTGGGAGAAGGAGTCTTACGTCATCGGCGACAAACTCACCTGGAATGAGTTCCGCAAGCTTGCTGAGGAAGCCAAAGGTATTTCGCTCCAATCGTCATGGTTCTACTCTGTTTCATGACTAACACAATGCTTAGAAACGAAATTCAACGTTGAGTATGATTCCGTGGAGAAGCTGCGGGAAGGGAAGATAACTGAACTTCCGTCCCATAAGTACGCCTACGACTTCGTCCGTAAGGAGGTGCTCCAATCCATGCTGGCGTACTTTGGCACCATGTTTGAGGATGGCCAGTTTGATTTTAAGCCTGAGAAGACGCTTAATAACGCCTTTCCTGATATTGAGCCCTTGACGGCGAAAGAGATTCTAGAACAGGGTTGGGGGTCTTAGAATGTCTGAATGGTCGTACAGGGCGCGAGGGATAATTAGACTACATTGTTGGCTATAATTCTCCTGCCTCTCAATAATCCTCTTCACATGGAGCCAACCGCTCCTCGAGCTACCCTTTTATTGGCAACAGGTATCATGCTGCATCGCTAGTGACGGCTCACAGAGCCTTGGGCTTAGGGTGGTTAGCTGGCCCCGCGCCTGACATTTAAAACTATTGTTCTTTTACGGGAGGTGAGACGAAGTAATGACAGCATTCAATGAGCGTCAAGGCGAATAACTGTTACGCAACCCTGAGTAAGAAAACTGAGAGGAGCCCCTGACTTGTGGTAAATCTAACCAAATGTGCCGAATCGGTGTCCGTGGCAACCCTAAACGATTTTATGCGCTGTACATGTGTCACAACGTCCTCATCTTCGCTGGCTCGCTCGATGCTGCTATAAGTACCCGAAATTATTTCTATCAGAGGCATGGCACAACTACCCTTCAGTCATCCTTCTTCAACAAAGGCACTTCAACTGCAACGCCACATTGATCAAGAGTAAAGCCGCATAGTATTTTTAATTTCAAAGAGCTACGAAGACGGGGTTCTACAGCTCGCCCCGACTTTAAGGTAAAGGTAGTAGCCTTGGAGCATCACGGTTGCAGGCAAGTTATAACACACATCCCCAGGAACGTCCTGGTTAATCACAGGTCAGGCTGTAATGAATCGGCTCAGATTGTCGTTCTAGTGAGGGGATGACCGGATAAGAGGGTAGTAAAGATAATGGACCAGGCGAATTCCAGGTGCTATCGCCATTCGTAACTCGGGCGGCCACCAGCACCAGGGGTGAGAGGGATGCATGTGGCCGTGTTGTAATTTTATAGCCGTGTGAGCGACTATCGGTCAAGGGATGAGGCAGACATGTAAGAGTTTCGCACCTCCTGCTCAGGCTCATTCCATATCAAGTAGCGGAACCACGGGCTACTAGCACCCGACTTGCTGTATGTTTTCACGTACCCGCTCGTCTCTCACACGACGTATCAAGTTTCTCAAGAACTCGGAGATGCCGCTCAAGCTCCGCGACGCTCTTGCTGAATCTTCTTAAGTTTCGCTTCCAGACGAATGCCGTGTTCGATATCCTTGGGTAGGATATCTCGGAGCAGGGCGCACGTTGTCGCGACTTTATGGTTGATCACGTACCTAAACGTTCTTCGCAGAGGAGACGCTTGGCTGAATGAACAAACCGAGGATGCCAGACTGGACACTATACTCAAGAAGCTGCTCGGCGATATAGTTGAATCACCCTGGGGCTTCTAGAGGCTCCAACCTTATTTTTCTCTTCTTAGCTAGCCAGAGCATAAACAGGAAAACTTCTCCCTGAAGCTTGTGTCAAACGTATCCCCTAAACCCTGGCTACCTTCAATTATTGACATTGATCTCTGGCTGAACATACTCAGTCTGATGAATCCGCCTCTCTCTCTGCATCTTCAACCCATTTTCGAGCTTCCTCGAGTGCCTCTCTGTCACGGCCTGGTCCCCCGGACAGTTGATAAGGCAGCTAATGCACCTCGTTGATTGCTACGATTGCGATCAATGCCCAATCTTTTGCCCTATGGCGTAACGGTTAGAGGTGTGCAGTAACACTCTCGGGGGTCATCACGATGTTCTTTCATGAATCCTTCTTATAAAGCTTAGCTACTTCTCTATAGCTAGCTATAAAAGATAAAACTTAAGATTATTAGGCCCAGTAGCTATATATAGCTCTTAATAGACTTTATATAGCTTATCTCCTTTTATATACTACTACTAGTCAGACTATATATTAAGAAACTAGTTAGTGTTACGGCCTGGTCCTTCGGACAGCGATAGGCTTAAAAGAGCAGCTAGTGTGCCCAGTAATTGCAATCAATGCGATTATTGACCAATCTTTTGTCCTATGGTACAGCGGTCAAAGGCACAGCCGTCACAGTTAGCTTAAGATACTATATAAATAGTGCTACTATATAAAGTATCACTATATTACCTTTTCATCTGGAGAGCCTTCGCGTCCAGAACGGAGTTAACGGCTTAACTCCGCAAAGCACGAGATTTCTCAATTGGGTTGGAGAAGCTTGGTAATCAACCCTTGATCAGAACTCAAAGTGGTAAAACTCAATGTTAAGCTTCCGATTTGTGAATACAACGTGCGTGTGCTGTCCGTTCCGTACTTCCTCATTGTCTTACGGAAGGTCATTATGTTCACTTGACAAATCCTGTATGTTTAATTTCCACTTATTATCGACTCTGAGTGATAATGATGGTATGGCGACTGAATTGATGTGGCAAAGATCTCATCTGGTGTTGAGGTGTTCGTGTTGATCTTCCATCCGTACGAGTCATGAAAGGTTGGCGGGGTTTTGGCGCTTTGTCATGGTGGGGGGTTCATGTGCCAGTAAGATGGCGTGCTGCGGCGCCCATGTATCAGTCGCCCAGCAACATCGTACATGTGGACTTAAAGGTCTAATCTCCGTCGGAGACGGCTACATATCGTGTCCGATATCCACTTGAATTAGTCAGTAGGCCGAGGTATACAACTTATCCCTACTCACCGCAGATGGGTTAACATTGAGCATTTGACGTTTGTTAAGATTTTTGACAATTGCTCATAATGTCGAATTTTGAAAAATTGATTGAGAGTGCAGTCAGGGACCGGGTGGTCCCCGGTGTCACACTATTGGCCAAGGATGCATCGGGTAAGCACGAGATCCCGGTCGTGTTAGGTATATCTAACGGACCTCTAGGCAATTTCAACTATGCGAAGGTGACTGGGAAGCGGTCGCTTGGGCCAGGCCATGAAGAAACTCTGACTCAGGATACCTTATTCTCTCTCGCTTCCATGACGAAGCTGCTAACGACAATTGCGGCTCTCCAGCTTGTGGAGAGGGGTTCTATCCAGTTAGACGATGAAGTCACGCCCTTTGTACCAGTTCTCGCGAGGCAGGAGATCTTGACTGGTTTTGCGCAAGACGGTAGTCCGATAACTAAGGAGCGCAGTAACCCTATTACTTTGCGACAGCTACTTACTCACAGCGCTGGTGCTGCGTACGCTTTTACCAGTCCTTTGATACAGCAATGGCTTCAATATACTGGTAGAGCCGAGTTCAGCTCTACAATCGATGAAGCATTTGACTTCCCGTTAGTATACGAGTCCGGTGAAGGATGGTTATACAGTAGCTCTCTTGATTGGGCTGGGAAGGTAATCGAGAAGGTGACGGGCTTGACACTCGAGGATTACATGCAGAGGAATATTTTCGATCCCCTGGGAATCAAAGGGATTACTTTCTGGCCCAGAAAGAATCCGGAACTCGCCCCAAGACTTGCCTCAATCTCTGTCAGAGATTCCGCCACTGGTAAAACCGTGTATAAGGAGGGAACCCGGAACTTCAGTGATGGACTAGGCGAATGTTTCGGTGGTCAAGGCGCCTTCGCTGATTTGCGAGACTATTTGAAAGTTTTACACTCGATTCTCGTCGATGATGAGAAACTGTTAAAGAAGCAGACTACGGCTCTAATATTCCAACCCCAGCTTTCGCTAGCCAGCAAGGCGGCTCTGAAGATAGCCATGAAGGATCCCTCATGGGTTGTTGGACATTTTCCCGATACGGGCGAATACGACTGGGGTCTCGGTGGCCTCTTAATTGATGGTGATAAGCATGATTACCGCAGGCGTAACACTCTGGTTTGGAGCGGCGCCGCAAATCTCTTCTGGGTATGTTTGCCTTGTAATCCGGATTCTTGAACCAGTTAACGATGACTAGTTTATCGACCGTACTGCGGGACTCTGTGGAATCTTTGGCACCCAGGTCTTTCCTCATGCGGATCCTACGGTTGAGCCTCTGATTAAGGCATTTGAAGAAGAAGTCTATACGAAGGCTGGGATGCAACAGACGCTATAGCCGTTCTCAAGTTTAGGTGCTACCGTCAATAAATATGCAGGTTTTACTACGCAGGAGTTGTGAATGAATTTCAGCAAGCCTGGGAGGAGCAACCTTGAAAGTCGAGCACCTTCTCCTTTGTTTGATCTCTATTTGTCACGTGCTGTTAGCACCCACACTATTACCGCAACTTCTGTGCTGTTTTGCCCGATAACAGATTATACCCAGGTACCGGTAGGGCCCCTTGCGAAAGAGTGGGAACGAAGGAAAAAGGAAATGGCCGAAGCCCCATTACCTCGCTCCAAGCAGCGAGACAGGACGAACGACATCGCGAAAAGTTAATGGTACCATGAAAAGATTGCAGGACTCAGTAGTAACATCACCTCAATGTTCATTTTTGCGCGAGGCATACAAGATAATCTATTTCAGAGTTGGAAATCAATCGTATAGACCGATTACGAGCCCTGATCGATCGATTTATATCGATCATCACCCTCAGTCGATCGATATCGATCGACCATCAAATCTGTCGCACCAAGCTTTGGGGGACGGATGCAGAGGGAAAAAGACTCTTGTTTCTTCTAACTAATAATGTTGCTGATTTGGGTTTTTATATTATGAGTGGCGATGTCGATCAAACATCTTGAAACACATCCCTTAGATCTACTATTGCCTCCGTTCCTTTACTCATCCCTTTCGACACGACACATTAGCCACCGTCATAATTCGATGCGTGTCCACAAATCCCCTAGACGATTCGCCTTTTCCTAACCGCAGAATTATGATGCACTAAAACGTCCCATGATGTTTGTAGTCGCATCCAAATTATCTCCTGCTCCTTCTTTCATGCTTACCGTGACTCAAACGCAGAAGTCGCACGCAGAGAGTTCTGGGCATGGTTACGTGAGGTACCTACACCGGGGTTCCAAAAGTCCTGCAACAGCCCCACTTACACCACCACCCTGACCGGAACGGATAGAATAAAGATACCAATTCCACAGGCTACAGACTAGCTACAAAAAAGTAACTACATTTTTGGATTCCTCAGAGGCGTGGCTTTAATATTTTGTATACCAACCCCTAGCCTTGCGGCAGGCCTCGATCCTCCGCGGCATTGACTCTAGCAGGCCCCGAATGAAGTCCTGAGGGATAGCTTCCCACGCCGCTTCCAAGCACGCTTTAAATTTTGCGATATCAGCTGCGTTTTTCTTCAATTTGGAAACCCAAGGGAACATTCTATAGAGATCTCTCTTTAGTCTGGCCTAAATGTGCTCAATGGGGTTTAAATCGGGGCTGTGAGGAGGCCAGTTAATAAGAGAGATTCCATGCTCAAGCAGGAAGCTCATCAAGACCTTTAATATGTAGATTCCGGCATTATCCTACTGGAAATACCGGGTGCTATTATAATTAGAAAGAAGCCTAGAAGTTAGAGCTTTAATATAGCTATTAAATAAGTAGCTACCGCGCTTAGAGGCTATATCTCGGGTCATAATAACCAGCTTGCTTCGGCTCTCCTTGCAAATTACACCCCATACTATTATTGTTACATCTCCCTTGCTATAAGCTATTTTATTAATAAATTTTAAGTTATAAATCTTATAAGTAAACCTCCAGACCCAGGTGCCCGGATTGGCGCTGCCATCTTAAGCAGAGTACTTATTAGAGAAGATAACCTAAGATATATAAGTAATACGTATAGTAGCAGACGAGGGTATCTTAAATACTTAGTTATACCTCACCCAATTCTTCTTCTCTTTTTACCCAGTTACGCGTAAATTGAAGCCGCTAAGCTGCATCTTCCTTTCGTAAAAAGATCCTCTTCCTAGCTTTCTATTTGCGCAAGTTAACCTCATTTAAAGTCCGGCGGACAGTCGTGGCGCTCACCCCAAGACTCAGGTCATCTACCAAGTCTATCCTTGAGATGCTTTCATCCTGTCGTACAGCGAGAATAATAGCCCTTTTCGCCCGAGGCGTCAGACTTGGGGGACGCCCGGACCGAGGGCTAGGATCGATTGATGCCGTTGTCTCGAGCCGTTGAAGCAGACGGCTGATTGTGGCTGCCGTAACCCCAAAACGCGTCGCGACCACACTCCTTTTCTCTCCAGCTTGTACGGCCGCAATAATAGCCGCACGAAGCTCGGGGCTGGTTTGCTGTCTTCCTTGACGATTTCCAGATATTATGGTCCCAAAAGACTGTAGATTGGACATCATAATAAAAAGTTGTGGATGATTGAATATGAAGGTGGCAGGAAACGCGGTTCCGATCGTCGACGCGAGTCGCGTGGCGTTGCAGGACTTTTGGAACCCCACTGTATTCTTGCAGATTCAGACGATAGAGGAAACTGACGCTGAGCTTGGACCGCACTATATTCCCTACGATTATTTACTGAATTGGAAGAGTTGTGAGGTGGTGGACTAGCTTTCATCATGACCTCTCCGGCAAGCGCCGAGACCGTGGTGGGGCCAGGCGGCCTCGTGTCGACGCCAATGAAGCTTCGAAGCATGAAGCGGAAGCTCGAGGATACCGCGAAAGAACCGAACAAAAGCAGTCGATATGCCACGAGAGCGATAACAAGAGCGACAACAAGAGCAACAGCAGTCGAAGGAGAAGTCGATCGCGCGGTTAATCCGAGGAAGGGAAATAGTAGTAATATTAACGAGGGGAGGGTAATATTCTAAAAGGTTTTAGAATTATTAGGCAAGTACCGGGCTAAGTTCTAAGAGCTAAGAGAAACTATTAAGAAGTAGAATAGGATTATTAGTAACTAATAAGAGGTAATTTATAATTTAAAAGTAATAGCTAAGGAGTAGTAAAATATAATCTAAGAGTTAAGCTAATAATTAGAAGATATTAAAAAGTAAATAGGTAATAAATTAAAATAAATTTATAAATAACTTAAAGCTATTACTATAAGTATAGTAGCTATTCTATATATCTTTTTTACTAATATTATATAATTGCTATTTTTATTTTAATCTAGTAATATTCTATCTAGTAATATATTACTCTTAAAGCTTATTAATATATTTTATTATATAATTAATATCTTAAAAAAAAAAAATTAGAGCTAATTATAATAAATACTATCTAGACTATTATAAAAAGTAAAATATATATTAAGCAGGACCAGTCTAGCTAATATTACTAGATTATAATTAAAAACTAGAAGAGCCTAAATTGAATTAAAATTATATATAGAAATAAAACTGAATATAAAATAGTAAAATAACTAGTAGAAGCTAAGTTAGTATAAGACGCCCGGGTGCTACGGGATAAGCTCTACCCTATTAAAGTAGATAATATCAATCGCATGGCAGTGCTAGATGAAGCGGGTAACATCTATATAGAAGCTGCCGAGGCCTTTAAAAAGGAAAATAACATGCAGATTGCAAAGATAGTTTGGTTAAGTAGAAGAGATATTCCGAAAGCATACGGCTCAATGGTCGTTTACCTTACCAATGGCTCAGACCAGGGGGGGGGATAAAATTTGGGGTTGGAAATCCCAGAGCTTAAGAAGACCTTTCGTACCGAAAGGCAAAACTTAAGCATTGATGTAGAGTCAGCCTTCGGCTGAATTAGCCAATAGCAGGCAGCATCTTGGGATGGCTGTCTAGATGGTGTGGAGTGAGTGAGCGATCTGCTGACTTTTGTTGGAGATACCGAATAAGATCGCTTTCTGGGCGTATTATACCTTCTAGTAGTCATAACATCTATATCTTCTACTCCGACGCAGGGTTCAAATCCATACCACGAAATCCACATATGGATCCATAATGTGGATCCATATCCATTCCATTCCATTCCACGTGGGCTTCAGCATTTCCATATCCACGCCACGGAGCCCCTTCCACATGTTCCGCATGTGGAAATCGTGGAAAATTTTAGGTGGGGTTCGAAAATACCTGGATCTCCTTGTGAAATCACGCATATCCTAAGTACTTTCTATCACCCACAACAACACAACATCGATTTGCCACCCGTTTTCCTCCGTACACAACGAGTCCATTCTAAGGGCTTCACTGTTACTCGCGTTACTACCCCAAATCGAAATGGCCACTCCCCATCCTACCAAGTCAACCACATCCATTCCAGAACGAACAGAAGAAGACAATCAACGGCTCTTTCAGCTCTACAAAAGTTGGATCTTGACGGAGAGAGACGGCAAAGCGCGTCTATAGGTATATCGGTTCGGCTACGATATCCAGCATACCAAGAAGCAGGAATGTCGGTGGGTGTGTTGCCTTTGCGTCAAGCAACAGCGGATTCTAATGGACCAATGACAAAAACATTCACGTCACCGAGGGACGGATGCGACCCACTAATTACCATTGTTGGACGAAGTAGGTTTCCATTCCACAAATTCCACAATATGGATCCATTTCCATAATGGATCCATGTCCACCCATTCCACACCGAAATTATTAGTCAGCATCCATATCCACGCCATATTCACAAATGTGTCGTGGAGTGTCGTGGATTTGAACCCTGCTCCGACGGTTCTCCCTGGCTCACCTTTAACCGCCTCTTATTCTGCTCCTGCAGAACTTGCAGTTGTTCCCGGAAGAGCTCAACAACAGCTGTTCTTATAACCAAGGAGTTGCTGAGTGTCAATCGAAACAAACATATCTAGGAGGTACCCATTCCCTCGTGCGTAACTGCCACCAGGCATCTACTCTGCTACGCGTCAAGCTTAACTGTCCTTTTGCAGTCTTAGATTCCATGTTTATGCTAATCGGGCAACATCCATTTTAGCACCCTTAACAACGGAGCATATAGCCATGCGATGATAATTGCACCTTCAAGAGCGGCCCAAGTGATTATAATAGATAGAGCGGCATACAGTCTGCATTTCGTCCGCGATCATAAGGGAATCCGTAGTCTTATTTTGCCGTACTGGGAAAGTTCGGTCAGAGACCGAAGAGTTGCTTTGCATTGGAGTCATTCTTAAGGCTGGAGACTGACGTCTAGCTCTTTACGAAAGGATCCGTTTTTGACAGATCCAACCCCCTATAGCGGGACT